CTAAAATAATTAATAAAACCTTGAATTGGTTCTTGAACAAAGGCAACAAATAAACTAACTAAAGAAAATTGATAAGCTATATCATCCGCTCACACAACGCGACCTATTCTCAAAAACAGCAGCTAGCGTTGTTCTGTTCTAAAAGAACTGAGCTACTATGCGCGCTCTCATTGGTCAATAGGTGTGTTTAGATGAGAGTATGTAAACACGGTTGTGACGTTTAAGATTCGCGCGTGTCTTTGAGAATCATTTTATAAAAGCAATAGAGCACTTTTCCCGTGTTCACATAGCCTCATCTAAACACTGGAGGGGCTGGGAGAATTCTCGAAAGTTATGCAAACCCTTGACTACGTCTTGCAGTTTGCATAACTGTCTCGAATTCTCCCAACCCTCCTCGTGTTCATATGCTGAAAAAGTGCTCTATTGCTTACTATTTTTTCTGTAAGAAAATACATGTTTTACGATAACTGAAGAAATTCTCGCACGCTCATTGGCCAATTTTCATTGTTAATAAGCGGACAGACACATCCATTTATAATTTATGCGATGCGTCAACGAACAAGAGCGGACAATTTGACGATTTGTTATTGTAAAAAAACAAATTGAAGTCAGTCTGTCATGCGTCTGTCCTGTTATTAAAAGTGAATTTCGTCATAACATCGTCAAAGTGGATTATAGGATGATGAAACAGCTACTTTGACAATGCCATCGGTGAAGTACTGGGAGGAGTGAGTATCCGCTGACCCGAAGCATTGCATGCGCAATTTCCAAGAAAGGCAGACAAAATTTGTGGCCACTTTCTGCCACTTTGTGTCTTGGTCGTTTGTGATAACACCATTTAGTCAAAACATCGCATATAGACGGAAAGAAGAGCATGCGAGGCTTAACTTTTTATTAAAATTACGCAATGGATAGCAAAGCGCAAAAGAGAATCGAGGTTGCTAAGCGTAAAGCTAGAGCAGGTGAGAATTATGAAAATGCGTTTGTCGTTTATCTTCTATTGTATGTTTTTTTTATGTGAGTGTGGTTTTGTTATTGTTTATCTCAATTTGGATTTGGCATTTTGGGGAGTAAATTACTACTATTTTTTTAATTTTTATTTTCTCCACTAAGTAGCTTTTTTCGGTTTTGATCGATAAATCATTATTTTGGTGAATTATTTCATTTCGTCCTAATTTTCTTCATAACTGTAAGCTTTATTTTAGTGTAGTTTTTAAGATCAAGCTCTATAGCTTTGATGTAAGCTTAAGCTTACTACTACATCTTTAAAATTTGAGGCTTAAGTTTGTAGTGATGCTGGGTGAAATGTCTATGGTTGGTTCAAGTATCAGAGAACCTTTTACTAGTACTGATTGTCATTAAATGTTAAGCAAGGAAGGATAGGAATGTCTAAAAGATACTTTAAAATCAGTTACACGGGCTACTTAGTAGTTAGGAAAAAAAAAAGGTTATGTAATGTATAAAGTCAAGAATTACAGTCGAACCTCTGCACAGCAGCCACCTCAGGGACAGAGGAAAGTTGCCGTTGAAGAGGGGCGGCCGACTCAAGGGGAGGTGGGGGTGCAATATGAGACCTGTTTTTTGGGGGGTGCTAGTAGTAATTTAAGATTAGAGCAGTGCGTTCACTATACTGTATAGGGTATTTTCTGTGAAAGCTGTTTGTTTAAAGGGAGAGGCTCAAAGCTGCATTTGTGGACTTTGTATGTTTGCTCATTTTTGATGACATTGGACAGATAACGATCTGCCCATGAAGTTAAACTATGGATGGATAAATTATGGTCCACAGCAGAGCCCCATAAAAGTGTTTTTAATAAAGTATTTTTAAAACTTGAACTGTACAAAATATTTTCCAGGAAAAGCATTCTTTAAACTGTTTGTGACTGTTTGCAAACCACTTATTATTATATTAATGTTCTTTTAGAACTAAAAGGAGAAGATGAGTGGACCAAGTTGAATCATGCTGAAAATTTTGATACTAGTCTTGGAACTGTTAGAGACAATGTTCCACGACAGGACTGCAATAAGATTTCTAAATCAGAGTTTGTTGAAAGATATGAAAAACCAAGAATTCCTGTTGTATTGACACATACCATGGATCACTGGAAATCAATGAGAAAGTGGACTGTTGAGGTATGTGGAAAAGATACACATGTGCATGTAGTTACTAGTACGTGAAAATTTGGGGTCATGATTGTACATGTAAATGAAAATTCAAACAGAGAATCTGTAATGTAGATGTACTGGTATATTAATCTAACTCGACTTCTACATAAATGTATAATTCCAAGATATTTTATTTTATATTCTTTTCTTGTCAACAATATGCCTCATTTGTGTAGCTATAGCAGGAGAAACAGAAACTAATATAACAGGCTCTTCTTGTTCTTTGCTTTTGAAAGATCTGACATGATAAATCTCATACACAATTCAGTGTGTGAATTGGTCACGCGACTGAATATGCCCGTGGAGCTAAAACTGGGGAATATTTGTCAAGTAATTTTCCTAAATTTTTCAAAACTGTGCGTGCTGTGAAAAATATTTGAAAGATGGTAAACACACCTCCATTTGGCATGAAAGTATGCTCAGATATTAAATATTAGTATTAAATACACTCAAAACTCACAGTTTTCCTTGAGCTGTACCCTTTCTTGAAACAGATAATATCTGTGGACATATATCCTAGCATATTTTTGCACCAAGTGGAAGCTACTGTTTATATATTCTTATGAATCCTTGTGTTATAGAGACTGGCAAAGAAGTACAGACACCAGAAATTTAAAGTTGGCGAAGATGACGATGGCTATGCAGTGAAAATGAAAATGAAATATTACAGCGAGTACATTACACATCAAAGGGACGACAGCCCACTGTACATATTTGACAGTTCATTTGGCGAAGTAAGCTCATTTACAGCACACACATGTAGGCTTATTTCATGGAACAATAAAGCACCATACAGTACCGCTCCACTCAAAAGTAAGATGCCACCTCTCATCTCATTTCTCGCGAGACGAGACTCTCGTCTCTTGAGAAGGTGGTAACTTACTCTTGAGTGGTACTTTAACTTTACTCTACTTCTTCTAAGCTTTCAATAAGATATGAGGTAGAGGGCTAACTTTAACAATCAGAGGAATACAAGAGGCCCATGAAAACTTCCTTTGAGGTCAGTGTCGCCTGCTCTATGTACAACATACAGTCAAAGGTTTGTGTTACTTAATACAATGTAGAAGACAGTAAAATCCAGGACAGATTAAAGTGCTCCATATGTTTACTTAATGATCAAATAGCTAGCAAAGATTGTTTTTTATTGATTTTACAGCATGCAGAGAAGAAGAGGTTGTTGAATGATTATGAAGTTCCACGGTTCTTTGCTGATGACCTCTTTAGATTTGCTGGAGAGAAGAGAAGGCCGCCTTATAGGTACAAAATACATCTTGCATTCTGATTATTATAAACTTGGAGATGATTAGCAATTAGTACTATTTACTTCCAAGCAGTTGTGGGGAAACAAAACAGCCTCCTGTTTCACTTTGGCAACCAAAGAGTAAATATTTTGGTTCCCTAGTTATTCAGCTTGTGCCCTTGCAATTTGTGTGGTATTGATCTACTAAAAAAGGTTATTAGCTCACCTACCTGGGACCAAAGTTGTGGAATAAACTACCAGGCGAAATTAGGACTCTACAATCACCGAGCAGTTCTAAAAGTCGTAGTCGTAAATGTGACCTTAATGTGAGTGAGTCTCTCGTAAATGTCCACCACTATTCCCTTCTTGTTAAATATCAAAACTTGTTATTAAGTTATGTCTCTTTTTCAGGTGGTTTGTTATGGGACCTGC